TAAAAAACTTATAGAGAATAAATTAAATAAAAATAAAAATAAACTTTAAAAATAAACTTTCTATTATTCTAGAGTTTTTTTTAAATAGATATTAAATTTTATTAAAATAAAGTATATAAATTATTTAAGTTAAGAGCTTTAAAACTTTTTATAAAGTAATAACGTCGTAATAGTAGTTTAAAAAAAAACTAGATATTTTAGTAAATAATATTACTAAAATATCTTACCTTTTATTTTAGAACTCTTTATAAAGTAATAAAGTTATAGTAATAAAAAGAAGAGAAATATTAAGTAAATATTAAAAATAATTAGTTAAAGTAACTATACGCTATAAGTAGTTAAATAAAATAAAAGATAGATAATAAAAAGCTTATAGAGAAAAGATAATACGAATATTACTATTAAAAGTTTCTTTCGTTCTATAATTAATAGGGAAGCCCCGGCCTTTCGCTTAGTAGCGTAAAAATTACGTAAAATAGTAGTTTTACTAGTAGTATTTTAGGCCTAGTAGAAATAGAATTTTATAAATAGTAAGCTAATATTATAATAATATTATAGTAGAGGAATATTACGATTATCTATACTAGCTCTAGTAATAATAAGAATATTTAAAATACTATAAGACTTAAAACACGATTTAGACCCGTTAAATAAGCTATAAAGATAGTATATTACCGTAGCTAATATCTACGTAAGTATTATTAATAGTATTTATATATAATTAAGGGGATTAGCGGTATAAGTAGCGATATATATTAACTAGAGTAAAAGAAGCGGTAATAAAACTTTAAAGCTCGCGGAATTATATAAATATTCGAGTATAGTTTTCGAATTTTTATAAAAAAATATTTATATAGGAAATCTTACCGTCTTAGATAAAACGGCCGCCGCGAAGAAGGGCTACCCTCTACCTATCTAAAGAAACTTTTAGACTTAGCCGTTTTTACTTTTTCTTACGTTTTTTCTTACGTTTCTATCTTCTATTTTCTTTTTCTTCTCTACTACTTCTACTATCCCTATCCCTTTCTAGAGGTACGCCCGTTCCGGCGTACCGTTATACGTACTTCTAAAACCTCTTCTATTAAGTAAACTTTCGAAAATCCCTATATAGCGCGCTCTAGCGCCGTCTCTAATAGCTAACGGCTTAAGAGAGACGTAAAACTAAATAAAAAAATAAAAGAATAAATAAGCGGTAATAGAAAGAGCGCCGATTAGAAACGAAAAAGACTTTAAATAACGATATTCGTAGTTAGCTATTATCTATACTATACTATCTAGAAATAGTACTTTTATATAATAGTAAGCTTTAGCCGATACTTATAGCCTTAAGCTTTATATAAGACTTATCGTTTCTACTTCTTAAGTGTAAAGACTTTACTCTATACGGTATAAGTAAATTCTCTACTACTATAGTAGTAATTTTACTTAAAAAAAACTAGGTATTTTAAGAAGGCTTATATATTAAAATATCTTACTTTAAATTATTTTATTTAAATATCTAGTCCTACCCTTTTTTAATTATATAAAAAGATATTATTAATATATAAAAGTTTATACTTAAAAGTAGAATATCAAGTTAAATTTCTATAAACCTAGGTATTTTAGTAAGAGTATAGATATAAAAAAAAATTATATTCGAAAAACTAGGTATCTTAGTAATTTACCGTTAAACTAATATAGCTAATAGGCTATAATAAATATTATAATAGCTAGCTATTAAAAACGTAATTTAAGTTTTTATAAAAGCTATTTAAGATATAATCTAGTTATTAAAACTTTTATAGACTATAAAATTAATAAAAAATATTAAAATACTTTAATATTAAATTTAAATAAATTTTTTCTTTAATAAAGTAGAAGTAGTATACGCTACTACTTAAGCTAATAAGAATAGGGCTAGTTTCTTATACTTTTTAAGATAAATTATCTAGTAAATACGCTAGGCGTATAAATAGTCTTAGATTTAGTTCTATTTTTAATAAGTACCGCTTCTAAAGAAACGCTGAACTAACTAAATAAATAAAGAGCTAAAAATTTATAATAGTAGTAATATAGTAGTATATCTACGAATATTATAGCTAAAACGTTAGGTAATCTCGTATTAGTAGTATAATTTTCCGCTACTAATCGCTATCTACCTAGATAGCAGCGAGCATTACCGGCGCCGGCGGCGACGGCGAGTAATAAACGTAATAACTACTCCTAGGGATAAGCGCCCAGCTTCGCTAGGGCCCTATTAATAGATTTCGCCTCGCCAATCTATTAACATTACATATTAAGCTATATAGGGCCAGCTATCTAATATTACAGAGATAGTTCTGGTTAGTAATATAGCACTGGCCAGAATCTATATATTTAAACTCTTCTAAGTATGCATTGGCTGCACTCCCTATATACCGTTAACCTACGTAGTTAACTCAAACTAGCAATTTACACCTTTGCTGGTAATAAGGCCTTCGCACACGTAGGTGTTAGCCCTACAATCGAAAGCTAGTACGTCCGCGCTATTTCCAGCAACCTCATATATTATGAATAGCGAATTGGTGTGCGTGTCCTAGGTGTCGGCCCAATTTAAGCAGCCCAATTTCCACGGCGTCACGCCACCACGACCACGCTGTGCCGCCACTGCACACATGTCTACGACTGTACACCTGCTGCTTGCCTGGCCATGTTGCAAAGCTTGGGCCCGTCCAACATCGTCTTTAGCGAAGCTCTGCGTCTCTACTTCTAATCTCCAGAGATTAACGTTGTCGGCGACTTCTGCTGCATCCGGCCCTTAAGCAGCCATGATCCAGCACGCGGCGGGCGGCGGCAGCAGCGACGACACCGAAGCCACGGCTGCAGGACCGGTCGTACTGCACGCCCGAACGCCTGCGCGGGCTGGTGCGCGGCGGCCGCCTCGACCCAGCATCAACTACCCATGGCCACCGCCCATGCTCAGGTTCCAACACGGGCTGACGTGAACACGAGGTTAAATTCCACTCGCCCTTCAACCCGCCCTTCCCTCGCCGTCCTTCATCACGAACGAGGAACATGCGCTTTTGAATACTACAACCACAGTCGAGCAACCATTGCTATCAGCAATCGAGGGGCAATATGCCTACCCCGCCTTCATGCTCCCGATAGACGAATCCGATGGGACGCAAACAACCGCCACAGCCCCCGGTGCTTGATCATGTATCCCACACCCCGTCCTCGCCCTCATCGAGCGGTGGTAGCCAGCAGCGGAAGAATCCCAGCGCATAACCAACCTGGACCCTACGATGAACACGCGCAGAGCTGTGACAAACCTTCTGGAATGGCGCATCCGCTGGCAGGACGCGGGCACACGTCTGTTGTCGTGGCAAGAAAGGATGGAAATGTCGTCGGCGAGTCGCAGGAAGTGCAGAGTTGGAGATGCAGCATGACGAAAAGAGCCCTCTCGGCACCATCCTCGCCGCCTCGCCGGAACCTAAGCCACCATGACCCGGGACTCGCCGCCGACGCTACACCTAAAGCTAACCGCCTCGCCGCGATCGTTCCTTCGCCAACTTTGTAGGCTTCCTGTCCACCATCACCAACCGCGGCGACATGTGCTCCAGCAATTCGTGCAAAACTCGCAGCATCAAATTGGATATATAACCGTAACCATGGCACTCATGTAGCGAGGGTGAGGGGCAGAATAACGAAACATCACCCCAGAAAGAAAACACGAAACACTGTCAAGCTACCGAAGCAGGAAAATCTCTCGCTTGGGCTTGGCAAGATGCCACTCATAAGAGTCCATCCTCTTTCCTCCCATGTGGAAAGGTCCTGCTTCACCGAAATGGGAATGAGTCCTGAAAGCCCTGAACTGTCGGAAATGTGACCATAAACGTGCTTATCGTTCTCAACGGCTTCTTCATCTTGCTGCTTCATTTCCCTCAATGACTTCTCCATTGTCCTTCATCCTTTATTCCTCCATCTTTTTTCCCCTCCATCTTCCTTCTTTCCTCCTTCCTGTTTTCCCTATCGGTGCCCTTCGTGACGCCTGTGATTCCGCCCAGTCCCGTCTGCCCGTAGTCTGCCGCTACAATTGTAATGTCGGCTCTCCTGTAAATAGCATCCATGCGACTGAGCTGAATATCAGTACCACACGAGATATTGTCATCTCTTGCGCAGGCCGAAAGTAGAGCACCGGCAATGCTCAAGTCTATCCGGTCAAGCACTTTTCTACCGTAGTGCCACGGTGAGTTCCCGGTTCTTCCTTGCCTGTCCACCACACTCGATATTCTCGTCCGGACGATAGCTTCAGATGCCCATGACATGAGCTAAAATAAATCTTCTTCTTCTGAAGTTCTTCGGCGAGCGGAGCTTTGAGCCGGCAGGATTCGTGGTGGTGAGAGACAGTTTTTGCGATGGCCCTCAGTCGCGGCGAAGTGGGTCTTGGTAGTCTTGGCTGTTCAGCGTGGTGTTTGGGTATATCGGCTAACAGCTAAACCTAAAGGAGCTGCCGCCGTCAAACCAGGAGATAGTGAGACCAAGTACTTTGATAAAAATGCTCTCAGTGACAAAACTCGACAATCTCGTTGCCAAGCCCCTCCATATTCCCTCGGACCGTGGCAGTCTCAATCAGGTCCAAAGCCTCCCCCGCCGGCACGCGTAGCTTTGTGACTTTCCCATCGAGGTCCAACGCGAGCAGCTCCTCGTCAGATCGATGCACGTCTCCATCCCAATCCACGCGCACGACCACGACCGTTCCCTTTCCAGCCAGCTCCGCCTGGTCGACCCACACGAAGAAGTCGCGCACCAACGCCTCGTCGAACCGCCGCGTCCGACACACCCACGGAAACCACCGCGCCGCCTCGTCCAGATCCTCCCACCGGATCTTCTCGTTGACGCGGCCCGGTACCACGCGGCGCGGCGGCGCGTATACGACGCGCTTGTCGTGCTCGCCCCGCGTCCGCCAAGTCGGATCCAGCGCCTGTCTGGCTGCCATGGCGTGGCCCTCGGTCCCCACGCCCGGCTCGACGACGAGGACGAGCGGGTGCTTGGGCGGGTGCAGGCATGCGGCGTCGAGGTAGCGTTGCTGGAAGCCTGCGTATTCCTCGGCAGGCATGCGCTGGTGGTGGGCGGGCGTCGCGACGCCCTTGTCCCACGCGAGGTGCACCAGCACGAGGCCGTGCTCGCCGTAGTGCGGCGTGTCGGCGACAAGCAGCCGCGTCCTGTTTAGTCGGGGGTTCTTGCGGCAGCGGCTGGGGTGTCGGGAGCAAGCTTGAGCGACGAGGTCGGCGGTGACGGTGGGGTCGGGAGGCACCATGGGGTTGGAGCTGTCAGACGGGCTGCTGGGGGGTTGTGGCTTTAGGGTGGCTTGCCAGCGGATGATGTAGTCGGTTTCGGGCTTCTTTTTGCGCGAGGAGCCGGGTTCGAGCCTGCGGACGAGTTTTCCCGCATCGATGCCGGAGGTGACGTAGAGGGGGGCGAAGGTATCAATGTGCTTGATGTGGGCTGGCGGCGGGTCCGGGCCGCTGTCGGAGCTGTCGCTTTCATCGTTGTCGTCAATGTAGTCGTGATCATCGTCGTCGTTGTCGTGTCCGCTGGGAGGCGTTTCGTAAGACTCCTTCTCTTCCGACCAGTCCGAGTTTCCAACCTGGAGATTGGAAACAGTCAGTCCGGCTTCAGCAGCCTTGATGAAGAAGGAGTCGGTACTGCAGCCGGCTTCATCAAAGTTGCCGTCATCAAGGGTGACAAGCAACACGCCCCTCGTCTTCCATTCCTTATGGGTGGCTACGATGAAGTAGATGGGATCGAACGTATGGCGAGGGCCGAGCTCGAGGTGATGGTCGTAGACGGCGCGCAAAGGGCTTCCTATGAAGCGGGCTTGCGTATCCGCGGGAAGGCGCACGTTGTCGCCCGGGGTTGCGTCGGGGATTCCAGACTCGCACTGCCGCTGCAGCTCATGCAGCTCACCATCTGACAGCTCGACAAGAGTGTAGAGAGCAGTCGGGAGCAATGACATGGGCTCGTTGCGGTAGCGCTCCACTGGCGCCGTCGGCGGTAGGCTGAGATCTGGAGGGGTTGCCATGTTGGAGAGGTGTTGTTGTGCGTTCAAAGTCACAGCCTGCAGGAATGGAAGGAGTGGAAGCTGCTAAAAAGAGATGCTGGAGCCTGGTGGCGACGTCATGAGCTGACGCCAACGCCCGGGCCAACACGAGCCGAACATGCCACGTGATGCCCCGCCCCCACATCTCACCCGAACTATCCGTCCGCTCCCGCGCTGATCTTTAAAGCTTATTGGCCAGCCTTGCCCGCAGCCTCCACCGCCTCCACCGCCTCCACCGCACCCTTTCCCTGGCCCGCAAAGAATAGTATGTATCGTGCAAGCTGTTACCATTCCCGATTAGAAGTGCCAACTGCCCACCACTTCCTTGTCAACGACTTCCTACTTCCGTAATAATGCCAAGTTTTGGCCCTTCAGGCCGCCTACATAGCCTCAGACATTTGACCCGCGAAGAAACCTTCACTGAATTCTCGCCAGAGGATGTCGCAGGAATAACGCCCTCGCCGCAATGGAGCTGACACTATGGGGCTGTGCAGTGGAAGAGACTCCTCCAGCGCGCTGATTGCTAACAGCTGAAAAAAAAAGCCAACACCGCCCAGCACAGTAAGAACTACCTGGACATCTAGAACCAAGCTTAGAATACATCTCGTCGTGAATGTATAAGTACAGGCTTAATCGGCTGATGGTAAGAGCATCAACAGCATCTTCCTCTCGAAATCTTGACTCGCTTCGTCATCCGTAGTGACAACGCAACCGAACGATCGAACGAGCAAACGAGTAAGCAATATATTAGCTCTCACCCCAGCTTCGCACTCGCTCAAAGGTCCCAATCTTATAACAAGGTTATTCCTGCAATTTCACAATGAAGTACCTAGCGCTCCTCGCCGCTCTCGCCGCCTTTGTCGCGGCATCGCCGAGCGAAAACCACCTCCGGCGAAACGACCCGGACGACCTTTTGATATTCACCTGCGACCAGATGCCCGAGGTCTGCCACAACATGTGCTATGGCGCCTACTGCGTCGGCATCGGCACGAGGCTCAAGTACGACAAGCCCGATTCCACCACCAAGCGCAACCGCCGCAAGGCTGCCGGATGCATCGAATCCGGCGGCAACCGCTGCTCCGTCAAGAAGAAGTACGACAAGGGATACCAGTGCGACGAGTACCCATTCGCCAGCACCGCCGTGATTGGCGGCGGCGATGATCAGACCCGCATCAACAGATGCGTCCCCGCGGGCGAAAACAGAAGTGAGTGGGCCGGGAAAAAGAAAGAAAAAAATCACTTGCTTTTACTGACCACTAGAGCAATGAATAGAGCAAGGCGGTATCATCAACAGCTTCTACCGCAAGACGTACTGCGGCGGCGGGCCCTGCGAGTTCACGGCCAAGTTCTCCAACGCCGGCAACATCGACATGTGCGACAGCATGAACGGCAACACGGACGTGTGCAACGACAAGGACAACGAGGTCGAGGGCCCCGGCTTCGGCGAGCCCGCCAAAGACGGCGACGAGGCCGACGACGGGACCGACGACGACGGCGGCAACCCTGAGCCCGAGGCTGATGCGCCCAGCTCCAAGAAGATCAGGCGACGCACCACCAACACGGTGCATCCCAGGTACCAGACCAGCTCCGGTCTCGAAATCGAGATCCCGGGTGGCGCGCGCATCGGCCAGCGTGCTGTGACGGTTCTGCCGCGGAACGCGACGCTTTGGGATGAGCAGGCAAATGATTATGACTGGGATGGGGATGAGGATGACGATGATGATGACGATGATGATGACTATGGTTACATGATGGATAACTTGGATGTCAGGGACGACACCATCGTAGCCGAGATTTCTTAAGTTACCATAGAGGTGGCTTTGCTTAGGGGACTTGTAGTTATAACTTCTACATAGGAGGCGAAGCCACTGCGTCATAACTTTCGTAGGTAGTCGTGAAATTGGTTGTGTTTTACGCGTGCGTGTCGACTCGTCTACAGAGTGGGACAGTTGCATCATGGAGAGGCTCGTAATGGCCGACTGCTCTGAAAACTGGGTCGCTGCATAGGAGCTGTGTATAACCTCTTATAATAAAACCAACTTCTTACTATTAGAAACGTAATAATAGCGGCCTATTTTAGCGTAAAACGCTTTAACCTACGTTAAATAGCGTAAAATTAAATATTAAATTATTACTTGATAAGCTAGATAGAAAGAATTCTTTAATTATTTTCTTATATAGATTTTAGTTATATTTTTACGAATTTTTATTATCTAGATTAAATTTTATTAGCTCTTTTTTATTTTTATAGAAAATTCATTATTTAAATTTACTTAAATTTATATTTAATTAGTTTAATTTTTATAAATTTTTATAAACTTTTCTTTTATAAACTAGTTAATTATATTAAAAATAATATAACGCTCGTAAATTATATTTCTTAGTCTTTTTTTTATTATACTTAGCGGGATTACTATTATATAATAAAACGCCGCCTACGCTTATTTTTATAAAATTTTCTATATTTTCTTTTAGCGTACTTACTTTATTATTAAGCGAGCTTCGCTATTTAAAGCGAAGAAGTTTAAGACTTTAGATACTAGAAATTATTATAAAAGTATAAAAACTTATAGCCGCGCCTTATACCCTTTAAATATAAAGTCTATAAGAGTTATATACTAGTTATATAACTCTTACTTAGCTATATTAAAGCCTC